GCTCTGGGGGGTAGGCAGCGATGGGCTCTGGCGTACTGCTCACCTCAAGACTTACCCGAGTCGCCTGTGCCTGTTTTTGGCCGCCAGTTTCCTCGAGGAGACACGCTCTAGGTTCCCCGAACTGTGCCTGGGTCCTGGCCGCCCTCCTCCCTTGTCCCTTGCTGCTGTCAGGCCACCACTTGCGTGGACCCTCAACGACGAACGAGCGTTAAGGGCTCTGGTGGACCTCGGCGATCCATGTGACGGGTGGAGTGTGCCGACAGGGTTACGGCAGTTCTCGGCACCGTGGGACCCTTACTTGGTCCAGGGCATCAGTATGGATTGTATGTTGCATCGGACGGCCACGGATCCCGACATGTGACGTGCACCGGCCCTCTCTTCTCTTCTTGCCGTTTGTTTCCACTTGTTGAGTTGCAGAGCTGCTTGCCCTTGCGCCAGCAGCGTTGTGTGCCAGTGAAGGGCTCTTCGTGAAGGGACGCCGAGCCCACCCACAGGCTCCGCAGGGCGCGCCGCCCCCTCGGCAGTAACGACAGAGTGTGCTGGGCGGTCCTCGCCCAGCTGCGCCTCAGGCAGTAACTGGTTTCACTTCGTGGGGGAAGGCTCTTCTGTTCCATTTCTATATTATTCCCTTTTTCCATTCTTAAGTGTCCATCAGCTTTAAGTGATAGTACCCCTGCTTGCACTTACAGGTGCAGGCCGCGCCGAGAGCGCTTGGCAGCTCAGTCCACCTTCGCGGTTTGCTGCTGCTGCCTGCTGTCATTCTTCACCCAGCGTTCTTCTCGACCTTTCTCTCACCATCATTGGCTTCGACTCTCCGCCATTCGACCGAACCGAACCGAACCGAGGAGGAGGAGAAGGAGGAGGAGGAGGGGGAGGAGGAGGACCCCTCCTTCCCGCTCTTACGCCCTCTTCCCTTTTCCTCGTCCTCCTCCTCCTCCTCCTCCTCCTCCTCCTCCTCCTCCTCCGCGGGAGCAGGGACAAGTTGTTCCAGAGCGTTCCGGGGCGCTCTTGGAGAGCTCTGGGACCCCATCCCTCAGGACCCTATCTTTGAACTACCGAGTCTTAGCTGGCAGGGACGACTTTCATGTTTCATCAGCTGACAAGTGGCACCCATAATTGCTCGTATTACCCCCAGGTCAGTCGGCGTGGACCTCAGGAAGGGCTGTGGGTGCGTGTTGTCGGTTTGGGGCCCCGCTCGAACGGGGCCCCCCGACTCGGGGTCCGGCACCACGCGCCCGTAATCTTGACGCAACCTCAAATCGCGAGGCGCGGGTCAGCCCGCTGTGTGTGTGTTGTCCGTTAGTCAGATTCGGCATGGCGCACGCAGGGGGGACTTCTTTCCTGACCAGCAAAGGGTGCAGACCTCTAGGGGCCACGCTGTGAAAAAGAGCACGGTGTCTTGGGTCTGGGTTCTCGGCCATCCGAACGCCGCCGAAGTCTTGGGAGTTTGCAGTCTGGATGCCGAAGCAAGGGCTTTTGTGAGCTCGAGAGCGGCCGTGCTTGTTCGGGCCGCTCCTCAGATCTGAGTCGAGGAGCCTGTTCGGGTCGTGGCCGAGGCTCGGCAGGAGTTACGAGATGCCGGGCGGAGGAACGAAACATCCAGAGGGCCCCCCAGGAGGGCCCCCCAGAGCCCCCCTCCCGGGAGGCCCCGAGACGCCGTCGGGACGAGGGGCCTGCTTCTGGACGACCTCCCCTCGAGGCCAAGAAGGAGAAGAAGATCGAGATGAACGACACCGACAAGGCCGCGGCAGAGTCCCAGATGCAGATGGACATCTCCGACCTCAAGGCCCCTCCGCCGCCTTGGCGGTGCCGGCCGCCGACCGGGAGGAGCACGAGGGCGACAGTGACGACGACGGCGGCGGCGGTGGTGGTGGCGACGGCAGCGACGAGGAGGTCGCTGGCGACGACGAGAGGGAGAAGACTGCGGGCGAGGGAGCGCGAGCAGGAGGAGGAGCCAGCCTGGGCCAGGGGAGGCGCTGATGGGGGCGAGGGTTGGACCTGCGCGGGGTCGTCCTGACTGCCGGTGCCCGCGTCGACGGGCCCGTAGCCGCCGGCTCGCGATGGGCCGAGCTTCCTCTCCGCGGCGGAGGAGCACCTTCGAGTCCCCCTCGGCTGCCGCTGCGATCTCGGGCAGGGCCTTCCCCCTGGGGCATGCGGCGAGGGCCTCGGCAAGAGGAGGAAATTCAAGAGGGTACTGATACTGCTACCCCTGCCCAGTTTTCGATGTGTTTGACCTCATGGGAGGCCCTCGTCGCCACCTCTGGATTCGCTTCGAAAATCTGTTCGGAACGCGCCCTGGGGGAGGTCCGTGGAGAAGCGGTCTCGTTACCTGCTGGTTACCCCAGGGGGGGCGGAGCCCGATCTGTGCGCAGATCCGTTTCTTGAAGGTCGGCTCTCCGAAAGCATGCGCGGGGGGTGCAGCTGGCCACTCCCCCTCCCCAGGCGAATACTGTTTGACTTGCCAGTCCCGTGCCGCTGGGACGGCCCAGAAGTGTCACGCCCTGGGAGCTTCTTAAGAGGTCCTCTACTTGGTGAGGGTCTTGAGTCTCCCGCACCCTCGTCTCCCCTCTGCTCCGCTTCTGCTGCATCCGTTTCCCCCTCGTCGCCTCCCTTTCCCTCAGCGTTCCTCCTTCTCCTTCCGAGAAGTGCGCTGTAACGCACACAATCTCCCCCTGGGCGGAGAGAAAGTTTTCACCTCCACGTCTCGAGTTCGTCATTCGAATGCTTCCCCACGGGGTGGACGTGGCCAGAGGCCCCTTTTCCAAGGGAGCAAGGTGCAGAAGAAGCGTGAAAGGAGTGCGATCCCAGCTCACACGCGCGCACGCGGTAGGGACATGGGAGATGACCGAAACAGCCGTCGATGTTCACAGTGTTGGGTGCTGGGGATACTGAGGTCGGCGTTTTGCGGTAGCGCGCTGGTTTAGGCCTGATCTCGGGCCGGGGAGTGGCCAGAAGCTCTGGCGTCGTCGCCGCTCCGAGCGTCGCCGATGCTGGAAACGTGCTCGTGCGCACCTGTCCTGTGACGGGCATCTTTGGCGGCAGCTCAGGGTCTGCTGTCTCAGAAGATGGAGCACAGCGGGCCGTGGAGCACATGGAGCCGATCGTGTACGGCAGGTCCATGCCGCGTGGACGCGGCGGCGACGCCAGCGCGGGTGTGGTAGTGGCCTGGCCCAGCATCGGCCGACGTCGAACGATGTGCTCCATCGGAAAGCCGCGACCGTTCAAGGCCGAACGAGCCACGCGGTGCTGGAAACCAACGCACAGGCCGTGAAGACGCGAACCTGCCGGCAGGAGTAGATGAGCAGCCCGTGCAATTTTAGCTACCCCGTTGGGGTGCACTCGGAATGCGGTGCCGTGCGCACGTGGAGTGCCCCTGGCAGCTTGCACGGAAGGGCGTTTTGCCAAAGGAGTTTCTGCCCACCCCCGAAGTCTGTTCCCTGGAGGCACCAACCAGGCAGGCGAGCCCGCAGAGATTGCCCCGCCCCTGCCGGGGTCGCCAGGGCACGAGCCCCTCCCCGACCGCCCTTCTCCGCTCTCGCCGGCCCTCGTGTCTTCGCCCCTGCCCTGCGCCTCTGCCGGTGTCGCCGCGCCTCCCCCAGATCGCCCGGCTGCCGGTAAGGGTGACCGGTTGCCGGAGTGGCCCGTGGTGCGGGCCACAGGGGTCCCCCCCAACGCTAACCCTCGCGCTTGGGCTTGGCCTGCCCGCGGCCCCCTGAGAGCCGCGCACCGAAGATCGAGGGGGAGGAGGGGGACGAGGGCACTGAGGAGGAGGAGGAGGAGGAGGAGGAGGAGGAGGAGGAGGAGGAGGAGGAGGAGGAGGAGGACTCCTGCTGGGCTCACTCCTGCGTGCAGCGGAAGCGCCCCCCGTAGCCCTCTGGGCTCCCGAGCCCGCGAGGGTGGCCTGGAAGCCGCCCCCCGGCAGGGCAGCCGAGCGCGCCGCGGGAGCCGCGGGCCATCGGCCCCTGCGTCCAGGGGCAAGGATAGGTCCTTCTCCTCCCCCTCCTCCTCCTCCTCCCTCCCTCCTCCTCCTCCTCCTCCTCCTCCCTCCTCCTCCTCCTTCCTCCTCCTCCTCCTCCTCCTCCTCCTCTCCTCCTCCTCCTCCTCCTCTCGTCTTCCTCCTCCTCCTCCTCGTCCTCCTCCTCCTCCTCCTCGTCCTCCTCCTCCTCCTGCTCCTCCTGCTCCTCCTGCTCCTCCTCGTCCTCCTCCTCCTCCTCCTCGTCCTCCTCCTCCTCCTCCTCCTCCTCCTCCTGCTGTTCCTCCCCCTCCCCCTCCTCTGGCTCAGGAGGGAACGCATCGACACCCAATCGCCCATGGCTCGCCGATAGTCGAAAACGAAGCACGGCATGAGGATTTCTTGGGATCGGCGCTGGGTCCCCCTGGCGGCGCCTCCGGCGCCGCCACTGGCGAGCTGCGCGTGCCAGGGAGGGAGGTCTAGCGCCGATCAAAAACTTTGCGCGGACCTGCAACAGTTCATGTTTCTGTCTTATTCCCTGCGTAGATAGGGCTCTGATAGCCCCGCCCCGCCCCAGATCGCGCGGACCTTGCCATCGTGGGCCTCTCGCCGATCTACCGGCGATGCGTCGCCGATTCCAAGTCGATGCCCCCCCCCTGGAGGAGGAGGACCCTTGGAGGAGGAGGAGGAGGAGGAGGAGGAGGAGGAGGAGGAGGAGGAGGAGGCGGAGGCGGAGAAGGCGGAGGAGGCGGAGGAGGCGGAGAAGGTGGAGGAGGCGGAGGAGGTGGAGGAGGCGGAGGAGGCGGTCGAGGAGGAGGGATGAGACGAATCAAAATATTAAGAATAGTAGCCAAAATAATAATCAGGGAAATGTGAAGAGTAGTAGTAGCAAAAGGAATAATAACAATAATACTAATAATTCGAAGAAGAAAAAGAAGAAGAGGGAGGAGGAGGAGGAGGAGGAGGAGGAGGAGGAGGAGGAGGAGGAGGAGGAGGATAAGCCAGTCCACCCCCCTATCGTTGCCCCTCATGTGTGCCCGCGGGCCCGATGGCCGCCGCGACCGCGGAGGGCGGCGGGGCCGCGCCTGGGCGGGGCGGCGGGCCGACGCCGCTCTCGGTGGTGCGCGCGGGCATCGGCCTGGCCACGGACCTGTACGACCTCACGGTGCTGAACGCGGTCCGCCCCCAACTGCAGGACTTGATGGGCAAGTTCTCCACCACCGCTGCCATATGTAGGACGGGAGAGAAGAGAGGATGAGGAGGTCCTCCTCCTCCTCCTCCTCCTCCTCCTCCTCCTCCTCCTTCTCCTCCCTCCTCCTCCTCCTCCTCCTCCTCCTCCTCCTCCTCCTCCTCCTCCTCCTCCTCCCTCTCTTACCTATGGTAGTGGTGGTGCGACATGGGCCCATCAGGACTGCTACGGGGAGCTCAGCCCCGCCATGAACGGGGCCATCTCCGGGGGGGCAGGAGGCAGTATCTCGAAGAAGATAAAACACCACAAACAGAAACTGATGGCGCTCCGCACGGATTTCTTGGATCCCTGCTGGGTCCCCCCCCGGCGGCGCCTACGGCGCCGCCCCTGGCGCGCTCCGCGCGCCAGGGAGGGGGGTCCAGCGCAGATCAAAGAAAGCCGCGCGGAGCGCCAAAAGTTTATGTCAGTGCCGTTGTTTCTTCTTCTAGTATCGGTGCCACGCCAGAATGGCTGACCCATCAGCGCGTTGCTGCCGAAGTGCGACCCAGACCATAGCCCCCGCAGTTGTGGGACGGAGTGAAGGGGCGGGGGGGGGTATCGGAACTCTACGAGGCGAGAAAAGACATTGAATCAAGCCCGCCGCAGTTGCCAACTTTTTTTTCGTCAGAGCTACGTGCGTGGGCTGCGGGTGTGTCGCGGGAGGGGCGCAGGCGTGTCGCGGGCAGGTTGCGGGTGGGTCGCGGGCGGGCCGCTGGCGAGGACGACGACAGCAACAAAGCAGCACAAGAACAACAAGGTTCCGCACCGCGGAAGCCCCTTCCGGCCGCGCGCAGGGACGGCGTGAGGCCGTTCGGCCCCCTCGCTCCGATGACTGACGCGCGCAGTCTGAGGGACGACGCGCGTGTCACCGATAAGGGTAGTCAGGGAATTACAGAAGGGAGGAGACCCCCTCGATGATGATGCTGGTGGTGATGATGATGATGATGATGATGATGATGATGATGATGATGATGATGATGATGATGATGGTGACGATGATGCTGATCATCATCAGCAGCATCAGCAGCAGCAACATCATCATGCTTACCATCTATTTCATCATACTCATCATCATCAGCATCATCGTCATCATCAGCATCATCATCGTCATCATCACCACCACTATCATCACCATCATCATCATCATCATCATCATCTTCTTCTTCCTTCACTGGACCAACGAGAGTGAGCAGCGGTCCCAGCGGCGAAAGATTCAATAGTCTCCCGCGGTTGAGGCGGCTTCCGCGCGGACCTCCGGCGTTTTACCGGTTACTGCCTGCCGTGATTCGCGTGATGTCGAGGGACGTGGCTGTCGCGATCTTGGGCCGCTCAAGCACGGATTGTTCTTGGCCCAAGCTTATGATGTTCACCAGAAAGGATTTCGAGCACCAAGAAAGTACCGAAACTTGAGGCTTTTCACCTGTCGGGCCGTGGGAGGCGATACTGGCTTGATACTGTTCCGCTACATTTCTGTTAAGTACGGCGAGAGCAACATAAGTCCAAGCTTGATTTAATAATTTGTGGGCGCGTTTTCGCCCTGAAGGGCACCCAGCGTGGTCAACGCGTCGCCGGCAGGCATTGTTTGAGGTCAGCAATCCATGACACCCGCCAGTATGATTCTTTATAGTCCGCGGCGCCCCAGAGTTCCTGACCCCGCCACAGGCGGTAATCTTGCGCCCCGGATCCGTTGGCTATGCGCCATGTCCACATTCATCGCTGGCCCGGGAGGCCAGTATCGCTGGAACGCGCCCATATTGAAACCATCAATTGGCTGGAGATCTGGGACCCGAGCACTCCTGGCCGTCACCTCCACCACCAGCGCGGGCGCCATCTCGAGGAACAAAGAATTGCAGAAACAAGTGACATGAGCATCAACTTTTCGAGCTCCGCGCGGATTCCTGGGATCGGCGCTGGACCTGGCGCGCGGAGCTCGCCAGGGGTGGCACCGGAGGCGCCGCCAGGGGGCTCCTGTGCCGATCCAAGGAATCCGCGCGGACATCGGCAGGTGTGTGTCTATGGCATCTTGTGTCCCGGACATTGTGCACCAGCTCGCGTTCGGAGGGCACTCAAACTCGTTCCCTCCTGGCCGTCACTGGCGGAGTGATCCGCCGCTGGGTGCGGAGAGCGTGAAGCAGCTCGCTCCGCCAAACCTCCTGGAGCCTTGAGCCGACAAGCGACACAGCGCGAGGGAAAGCTCGCTCCTCCGAGCCGAGACTCTTCAGCCCTCCCGGCCGTCACCTCTGCCACCAGCGCGGGAGCCATTGTGGGCCAGCTCGCGTTCGGCTGCGCAGCCGACGCGGTCGGGCGGCGGCCAGCGTTCCTCGCCAGCGCTGCGCTGCTCTGCCTCGGCGCGGCGGGGAGCGCCACCGCCGGGGCGGTGGGCAGCCTGGGCCCGTACGAGGTGCTGCTGGCGTGGCGCCTGCTGCTGGGCGTCGGCATCGGGGGCGAGTACCCGCTGAGCTGCGCGGTGACCGCGGAGGGGTGCACGGCGGAGGAGTCCCGCCCTCCTCCGTCCGTCCCTCGTCGAGTGCCTCCCTCCTCCGTGCGTGCCTCCCTCCCGCCTTCCCTCGAGCGCGCGCAGCCGCAGCCGGAAGCCGAGCGTGTTGCCGAGGTGCAAATCGGTCGCCTCGGGCCTGCGCGCCGCCACTCCGCGCGGGAAGACCTTCCGCGCGACTCGCTCTCCACCTCTGCGGCGATAGGTATCCGAACCCCTCCATCTCAGGGCTTGTTCCGATTCCTCCGATTCGATCCGACTTCGATGGCTTCCGATTCCGTTTCGATTCGACTTGGGATTCCGACTTGGGTTCCGATTTCTCATTGGAGGCATACTAGCCTGCCGACTTCCGCCGATTCGACTCCTCCCGACTTAGCTGCCGATTTCCGCCGATCCGATTCACATCGATAACCGATCCGACTTACTGGTTATTCAGGCAGTTGGATGGGCACCGGGGTAGGCTCGGAGTTTGTCGAGCACGTGGAAAAGTCCGAATCCTAATTGCCCCCCGCCTCCCATCGATTCAGGAGAATCGATGCTTGGTGGGGGTAGGGTTCGGATGTCGCTGCCTAACGCAACGCCTTCATTGACATGAACTGTCGGGGGTCCGCGCGGATTTCTCTAATCGTCACTGGGCTCCCCATGGCGGCGCCGCCCCTGGCGCGCTCCGCGCGGCTTGGAGGGGGTTCTAGCGCCCGTCCAAGAAATCCGCGCGGACCTCTGAAAGTGCATGGTTGTGCCATTTCTTGCTTCTCCAGAGGAGTCCGCCACGAGCATGGTGCTCACATCGCCCGGGCACCCGCGCGTCGTGACAGACATCACGGCGGGCGGTCCTTTGCAATTTCTGGCCTTTGGGGGGCCATCGTGGGGCCCATGGACCGTCCGACAACGACTCGGGATGAAAAGCCGCTCCCCGGGGTTTTCTAGAGAGCGCTCGGCAAGGGACTCCACCCCACGAGGGTCGGGGTCATAGTCGTCTCTCCGCTCCGTGCCCCACCTAGTGGGGTCGTTGGCTGTTGCTGCCGACAAAAGAAGATCCTGGGAGTTGAGGCCTGGGGGGGCTACGCTGTGAGAAAGTCGTGGCGCCTGGGGTCGGGGTCAGGCGGCGCCCACTAGGGGGTGACGCGAGGGCGGTGGGCTGCTAAAGAGATGAGATGGAAGGGGCTTGTGAGAAGGCAAACCCTCAACCCTAAACCCTAAGTTTGAAGGCTTGGAAATGGACACCAACACCAAATGTTCTACCGCTGCTGGCGGAAAACTGCAGTCCATCATGAAAAGGGGAGGGGGGTCACTACTGGTTCGACCCCCCCCCCCCTCGCCGCCAGCAAACGATCCCCGCTCCTCGGGACAGTGGGACAGTGGTGGGAACGAACACTGGGACAGTGGCGGGGACGGTGGTGGTGGGGACAGTGGTGTGGGGACAGCGGGACACTTGTGGGAACAGTGGGACAGTGGTGAGGACGGTGGTGGTGGAGACAGTGGCGAGGGGACAGTGAGACAGTAGGACAGTGGTGGGGACGGTGGTGGTGGGGACTGATGAGGGCGGTGGTGAGGACGGTGGTGGGACAATGTGACAGTGGTACAGTGGGGACAGTGAGGGCAGTGGGACAATGGCGGGGACAGTGGGGACAGTGGGACAGCTGTGGGGACAGTGGGGACAGTGGGATAGTGGTGGGGACAGTGGGGACAGTGGGACAGTGGTGGGGACAGCGGGGGCAATGGGGAGAGTCGGACCGTGGTGGGGACAGTGGTGGGGACAGTGGGGACAGTGAGACACTGGTGGGGGCACTGGTGGGGGCAGTGGGGACAATGCTGGGAACAGTGGAGACTGGGACAGTGGTGGGGACGGTGGTGGTGGGGACAGTGGTGTGGGGACAGTTGGACAGTTGTGGTCGGTGGTGGTGAGGACAGTGGTGAGGACGGTGGTGAGGGCGGTGGTGGGACAATGGGACAGTGGTACGGTGGGGACAACAATCAGGACAGTGGGGGCAGTGGTGGGAACGGTGGGACAGCTCAGTGGGACAGCGGCGGGGACAGCGGGGACAGTGGTGGGGACAGAGGGGATAGTGGGACAGTGGTGGGGGCATTGGGGACCGTGGGGAGAGTGGGACCGTGGTGGGAACAGTGGGGGGGTCAGTGGGGACAATGCGACGGTGGTGGGGGCACTGGTGGGGACAGTGGGAACAGTGGTGCGGACAGTCGGGGCAGTGGGACAGAGGTGGTGGGGACGGCGGTACTGGGGATAGCGGTGAGGGCAGGGCGGTGGTGAGGACGGTGGTGGGGACCGGGGAGTTGTTTGCCGGCGGTGATGGGGGGGGGGGAGGGTTCGAAGTTGTAGTGGCCCCCCCCGGGTTTTATGGAGGGGGGTGGGGGCTCGAACCGGTAGTGACCCCCCCCCGGCTTCCAGAGAGGGGGCGGGAGGGGTTAGGGGGGAGGGGGGTTTGGCTGGGGGAAGGGAGGAGGGGGGGGGGTTCGAGCAGGGGGGGGCATTTTCGGCGGGGGGGGAGACCCCCGGGTTCCAGAGGAAGAAGGGGGGGGGGGGGGGGCGGGAAATTTTCCACAGGAAAGCGGCGGTGGGTCACGCTCTCTCAAATCTTACCACCATCACCGAGATTGGGATCAGCTTCCCTCGGTGGGGGCACGCTGCCGATCTTGGTGTTGGTGCCAACCTCTGGGCCTCCGATAAACCTTAATCTCTGAACTGCAAGCCGCGGGCGGTGCAGCATCTTCGGCCGTGGCGCCTGGCCGAGCGGTCAGCGAGTGCGCCCATGCACGGACGTGGCACCAGCGAAGCGCGAGATCAGCGCTGAGGAGGCTGCGCCCGAGCAGGGCCTTCTCAGCAACGCCAGGGAGGCCTCTGAGAAGGCTTCGCAGAGGCCCGAAGCCCCCTGCCTTCTTAGAAGCCCAACCCCATCGGCGCCAGGGAGGCCTCTGAGAAGGCTTCGTGGAGGCCCGGCGAGCTTCTGAAGCTCACCCTGCCGTCTTAGAAGCCCACCCCCCCCCGCGCCACCCCCTTGTGGGCGCTACCAGCGCGTACATGATGTTCCAGGCCGGCCAGCTGCTGGCCCCCACCATCACAAGAAGAAACACCAGTATCAACACGCATTTTCGGAAGCCTGCCCAGACTTCTTGGATCGGCGCTGGACCACCCCCCCCCCCCGGCGGCGCTCATGGCCCGAAGCGGGGATTCATCGGGGGATCGATCTTCGGGAACCTCGACGGGCGGCGGAAATCGATGTCCACAGCCCTCCGTGGACTTCGGTTGCCCATGGGCGGTGGATATGGGCAAAACTCCGCCTCCCATATGGCTCTGCCCCTGACGCGCTCCGCCCGCCAGTCAGGGGGGGGGCAGCGTCGATCCAGGAAATCCGTGCGGACCTCAGAAAATGTGCGTTCGTGCTGAGTTTTCTTCTTCTAGCCGTGGCCCTGTGCTGCCTGGGCGCCGGCGTCGGCCCAGACCTCACGTGGCGCCTATGCCTGGGCTTTGGCGCTGTCCTTGCGCTCGTAGGGGCCCTTCCCGGGTGCTGCTGCAGGTGCCCCTGGCCCAAGAGGCGCCCCCAGGATGCCCATGGGAGGTCCCCGCGTGGTATATGGCTTCGGGCTGCGCACGGACAGCCCTCCCATGCAGGTAGCCCTGGCCGGCCTCAACAGGCTAGTCAGGGCGCTCCGCGCCCCAGGGTTGAGGTGTTTCGAAGAAGAATAAACGCCCTAAACAGAAACTTCTGGCGCTCCGCGCGGATTTCTTGGATCCGCGTCGTGGCCCCCCGGCGGCGCCTCTGGCGCCGCCCCTGACGCGCTCCGCGCGCCAGGGAGGGGGTCCAGTGCAGATCAAAGAAATTCGCGCGGAACGACAAAAGTTTATGTTTGTGCCGTGTCTTCTTCTTCTAGTTCAGGTGTTGAGACCGTCTGGGCTACCGTGAGGCCAGGCGGGACTGCCCGGGGGGTCTGTCCGTGCGCACCCCGACACATTAACCGCCTCTGCCTCCAGAGCACCTCGCACCAGGCCCAGAGGGCCCCGCGGGCGCCAACACAGGGGTCGACCTAAACGGTGTTTTGGCGATTTCGTGGGCCGTTTTCGTTTCGATTTCGCTTTGCGGCAAATGCAGATTGAAGGCGACACGTGGGAAAACGAACAGAACGAAAACGACAAACAATACTTAGGGCGACCCCTGCGCCAACAAGGGGCAATAAGGCTGGGAACGCCTTGAGCCAGGACCATCTCTGGCAGCACCCGAGCTTCTGCGAGCGGAGACCATGAAGGATCAGGAGGGGGAGAAACACACAGACACAATTCATCGTCGCCCCCCAAGAAGATATGGGAAAATAGGGGAAGTGGGGGGGAGGACGAGAATCAAGATACATTCCTCTTCCTATATTTTTGCAAGCCGGGGTGGGTAGGACCCCCCCCAAAACCGGATTCGGGGTTTCCGGGCCCCCGGGACATCTTTGCCAATCTCCCCCAGCTCGTCCCAGACCCCCAGGGCGTTTGGCCAGATCTTGCCAGCAGACCCCAGGAGATCAGACCGGTGATTAGACAGGCCGAAGAGAGACCCAAGACAACGCAAGAGCGTTCCAAGAAGGACCCAGATGGCCTCCTGAGGCCTTCAAGACGGCCCAAGAGGCCCTGAACAGGACTCCCAGATCGCAAAATTCGCTTCATTCCCTGAGGGAACCGTGCATTTCCAGCATATTCGCTGTTCGGGTCTTAGCAGCGTTCAAAACAGCCACAACCGTGCATTCCCAGCATATTCGCTGTTCGGGTCTTAGCAGCGTTCAAAACAGCCACAAAGGCCTCCAGAGTCGCCCCAAGACGACCAACGAGACCCCCAAGGGAGCCTCTAGTCGGCCTGGATGGCCCCAAGACTGTCCAAGAAGGCCTCAAATGGGCCCAAAAGAAACCCAACAGGCCCTCACAAGGCCCGAAAGAGAAGCCCAAGAAGGCCATGGGAGGCCACCAGGAGGGCCCATGTAGCACCCGCAAGGTCCCTCGAGGGCACGAGCTCCCCAACGCGGCCCAAGAGGGCCCCAGGACAACTCGATAGGGCCCCAAGCCGGCCCACTAGGGCTCCAACAAGGCCCACACGGCCTTTTCCACCAAACTGACCCGAATCCCAGGTTCGCAACCACATTTCCCAGAAATCTGTTCAGAACCCGGGATTCGGTGCATCCCCCAAGAATGATTCACTTTCGCGTGCCCCAGCGTTGCGACCCATTGCAACATGACATCCTCGGCTTGGCATGGCTTGGCATTGGTTTGTACGTTGAGGCGTTGCTTGACGTTGCGTCGGTTTGCTTGGCATTCACTCGCGTGGCTCGCCATTCCTTCGCATTGCGCAGTGGGACACCTCAGCCACGAGCGGGCCAGTGTGCGGGCCTACGAAGGCCTTTCGTCGTCATTCACTGCCAGACAGTTCTGCAAGCGTGCACGTACACGGGAAGCCGTAGCCCTTGGCTTCTGGACAGCCATCTTCGGTGCGGCGCAACCAAAATTCTTCGCCGTCCCCCGATGACACCATCTCTTTACCTCCTCCTGCTCCTCCTCTGGGTCCTTATTTTCCTCCTCCTCCTCCTCCTCCTCCTTGTCCTTCTGCCGCTCCACCACTCGTCCTCCCCACATCCGTTTCCCTCTCCTCGCTCCCCGCGATTCCCTCCCTCCCATCCTTCGCCCTCCACCCGGCGCCTTTCGGGAGCCCGTGGAGGCCCAGGGAAGGTCAACGGACCGCCCGCATGTTCAAAGACTTCAAAAACCACCGCAGGGAAAGGGCCAAATTTCTAAGAACTCTAGGGACGGCGCGAACGACCAACATAAGCAGAGCCTCAAGGGACCAAGGAGCCTTGCGCGAAGAGCCAATGCACTCTTGTACATGTATACGTATATATATATATATATATATATATACACACGGATTGGAACAGATGGGGAAACCTGGATTTCTGTTTATTTATGTGTATGTCCCTGGGCCCCGTCAATGAAGGAGTCGGAGGCCTGGATGGCCTCTCGGGCAGCCGCCAGGGGGGCCCGCGTGTGCAGCGTGGACGTCTTGCGGGCGATATGGTTCCCGCTGCTCGGGACGACGTCCACGTACTTCCTCTACGACGTGGTCTCGTGGGGCGTCGGCAGCTACACGTCGTCAATATTCAAGTCTGACACGCGCGCTGGGACTCTCTGGTACATGCTGCTGATAAACGTTATGGCAACGCCAGGCTTCATCCTCACCATGTGGATGGGCAAATATGGGCGACGGACATTCCAAATGTGGGGTTTCTTCGGCATGGCTGCGTGCATGCTCACCGTCGGCTTGTCGTACGAACATGCTCCCATGCTGGTGCTGGTCCTCGTCTTCGGCCTGCAGAAGATCTTCGACTCTGCAGGCCCTGGCGCCACCACTTTCATCATCCCTGGCGAGATATTTCCCACCTCGGTGCGCGCCACCTGTCACGGCGTCTCCGCGGCCGCGGGTAAGCTGGGGGCCTTCGCCGGGATGTACCTCTTCCCGGTGGTTGAGAGCCGCGTGGGCTACCCGGCCATGCTGCAGCTGGGGGGCGTCATCTCGGAGGAGGGCCAGTTGAGGCAACCGCGGCTCTCCCGCCCGGCCAACATCCGCTCAAAATCGGGGTCCAGACCCTTCCCGGGCTCCGTCGGATCCGGCCGTGGCGTACGAGAAGCCTCCAGGAGGCCCCTCTTCTCGGCCCCGTCGCATCCGGCCGTGGCGTACGAGAAGCCTCCAGGAGGCCCCTCTCCTCGGCGCCGTCGAATCCGGCCGTGGCGACGCGAAGCCTCCAGAAGCGACGAGTCGCCTCGCGGGCCGGGCCCCTGGGCCGCGACTCCGCGGATACAGCCAAGACGCTGAAGTAAGGAACAGTTTCGATTCGGAAGGGGCTCGATGTTTCTTACGTCCTTCCGTGGTTGTTCCTCCAGCCCTTCTCGTGCACCCAGGGTTTTTCGAAGCCACGAAGGGGCTTCGTTCTTTATTTAGCGTTCCTTATTTCAGCAGCCCGACTTTACGGGGCGCTTCTTCTCAGGTGCCCCGCGCGACACGTACCGGTGCGACCCGCGTATCCGCGGGATCGCGCCCCAGAGCCCAGACCGCGAGGGCGCGGAGGCGGAGATCTCTTCGCCGCTCGTGCATGGAAGAGGGCCGCGGTGTGCTCGGCCGGCCCCCCTCCGACCATCATGCTGGTCGGCATGGCGGCCACCGCGGCACTGACGCCGCCCTACACCGCCAGGACGCTCCGGCGGCTGCGGGCGCTGGCCGACGCTGACGTGTCGCGGACCACCGAGGTGCTGTGGTCGGGCGTGTCGGCCGCGCCGGCGTGCCCGAGGGCAGGCTCGCGCTCGTCGGCGGGGTCGGAGGCCGAGCTGGCCTCGGCGGCGTCCTTCCGCGCGTAGGCTGCGGCAGGCGGCTCGGCCCTCGGGAGGGGCACGTGCCCCTTCCCTCCAGACATGCTCGCCTCGCACGACGAGCCGGGCCCCTGGCCGTGTTCGGCCTCGGGGGGCCCTCGCCGGGCCCCGGGGCCGTCATGAAACGACTGGGGAGGACAAGTCGGCCCTGGGGAAGTGTGTTGTGACTTCGGGGGCCCCTCCTCCTCCTCCTCCTCCTCCTCCTCCTCCTCCTCCTCCTCCTCCTCCTCCTCCTCCTCCTCCTCCTCCTCCTCCTCCTCTGTGGAACAAGCGAGACATCGGATGTCTGGGTCTGGTTCGGGTGGAGCAGCGCCCACAGCAAAGAGCCGCGCCCGGGCGGCGCATCGGCAGGAGCATATGCGCACCTGCATGCGAGGAAAATGTCACTGAGCCTCGGCCGGCCACCACCTGGCAAGCTTTGCGCAAGTGGCGCGCGAGGGTAAGCAGCACCACTCCGTCTGAAGAGGGTGGGGTGCGGTGGGGTGCGGAGGGGGCGGAGGGGACGGACGAAACATTGCGCAATATCAGCTCTTCCGCCACCTGGGGCGCCCGTCCCAGGGCGGCTGGGAAGTTCTTGCCCCCACGGTGGCACGTCGGGGTACACTTCGTGGCCGCCATCTGCGATGGGGGATGGCAGAACATTGCATGCTGTGCCGCTCGACGTCCGAAGATGGAAGGAGGGCAGGGCGAGTGCGAGAACTCATGCTCGATCTGCCGCGCCAGCCGACAACATATATGCGTGTGGTGTGTGTGTGTGTGAGAGAGTGCTTGTGTGCGAGTGTGTGCGTGTGCGTGTGCGTGTGCGTGTGTGCGTGTGTGCCTGTGCACGTGTGCGCGTGTGCGCGTGTGCGCGTGTGCGCGTGTGCGCGTGTGTGCGCGTGTGCGTGACATTTTCGAGCGCGGTCCTCAGAGCAGGAGTTAGGCTATGTACAGCTCAGGGCCATTCAACAAAGGTTCGCCCCCAGGGCTGTTAACTCGATGTTTGCCATCAGTGGTGTGGCATACGTTCCTGCAGTGCGGCAAGTTGAGGTGGCTGGAGGTCCATCATGCTGTCCGCTCCCATCTTCTCCCCCATCAAATAAAGGATTGCAATTGATACGTTCGCTACTCGTACAGGTTGTTCGCGACTTTGGTGACACATCGCCGGCGTTGGAAACGTGTCGTTTGTGTGTTCGTGTGTGTCTGTGTGTGTGTGTGTTTGTGTGTGTGTGTGTCTCTGTGCGTCCGTTTGTTTTTTTTTGCTTTGGAGCAGCATGCGCTCCACGTGCAATGTTCGGAGGGCGCTCGGAGGAGCGGCGCCTTGTGACGGGGAACCGTCGGCCAGCGAATGAGCGCCAGTCGGTGATCCTGGCCTTCCTGGTGGGATGCACGCCAGGCAAGGTCAAAGTCATGCGCCGAGCCCGCTCGCTGCCAGCGGGCGCAGCTATAGGCCCCAGGCACGAGCACCTTTCTGAAACGCATTCAGGAAAACAAGTCGCAGCGCCGATAATACCTGAAGCCATGCGATTCGGCCAACACGTGCACCCTGGTTGAAGCCTGACGGCCAACGCTGTGAGCAGCAGGGTGTGTACATACATGTGTGCGTGTGCATATGCGTACATGTGTCACGCCTCTCCCTCCTGTCCGCTCCACGAGGACCAGGATCTTGAGCCATTCCGGGCTCTACATTCCGCGTCCCGTGTTCGTCCGCCGGGGGATTTCCCCGCCTCCCGCCTTGTTTCTTCGCGCCGTGCTCTGCCGATACTCGCTGTTCCGAGCCAGGCAGCGCTCCCTCGCCGTATCGGCCCACTTTGTAGGAACAACGTGTGTGTGTGTGTTGTGTGTGTTTGTGTGTGTGTTGTGTGTGTGTGTGTGTGCGTGTGTGTGTATTTGTGTGTGTTGTGTGTTGTGTGTGTTGTGTGTTGTGTGTGTGTTGTGTGTGTGTTGTGTGTGTTGTGTGTGTTGTGTGTGTGTGTGTTGTGTTGTGTGTGTGTCTCTGGTTCTGATGATTCTGGTGATCGGCCACTGCGGGGCGTCCGCGCCTCGCCGCAGCCTTCGGGCCCGCAGGCCCTACGCTACGCTCTCGGGCCGCCAGGCCTACCGATCCACGACGGGGGGCCACTGAGCCGCCCCGCCCGCCGTGCCAGGGGACGCGCCCCCCCAGCACCCCAGGGCGGTGGATCCAGGGCCCACGGGGGACCACACCCCACCCCAGGCCCCTAAGCACGACAGTGCCGAGGGGGGCGCAAAAATGCGAGGCTGCTCCGCCGAGCCCAGGCCCCGCCAACGTCGAATGCGGGCCCAGGCACCCCGAGGGACGGACCGCCCCTCAGGCCGCTCAGCCACGGCGGAAACCGCGCCACGGGGGGCAGCAAAACTACCGTTGGGGGCCCCTCAGAGGCGCACCGCGGGCACAACGGCCTCGCACGCCTCCAGGCCGCTTCATGAGGCCATCCTCGCAGCTGACACTGTCGCTGCGAACCCTCCACTGCTCGCTGCAGGGCCTCGCGCCGCTGCTTGAAGAGGGACATCTTGCCGACGAGCTGGGCCGCGGCCTGACGACGCTGGTCCACGGCCTCCCTCAGGCGCGCCCTGGCGTCGTCAACCGCGCCCGCCGCTCCGCAGCGCAGCGCCGCGGTCAGCTCCTGCGCTCGAAGGGCAAGCATCTTGGCCAGCTCATCCATGTGGCTGGCCCGGGCCCGCCGCTGGGCCTCGATCGACTCCTCCATCGGGGCGAGGATCGAGGGGAGGACGAAACCGTCGTCCGCCGCCTCCTCACTCCCCTGCTGCTGCTGGCGCCGCCTCTGCCGGGTGGAGGGCGGGAGGGGCTGGGCGGCGGGCTCCACGTCGCCGTCCTGCTTTTGGGAGCCGCCGCCGCCGAGGCGGCCGTGGACCCCCTCCTCGTCCACGCCCGTGCTGCTGAGGCGGCCCTGCTTCACGGGGTTCTCGTGCACCTTCGCGCTGACCTCGCCGACGTCCTGCTTCCACCAGCGAGGACTCGAGACGAGGGGCGGCGGCACCACGGGTTCGGTGAGCCGCACTGCTTGCGCGAGGTCGAAGCGCCACCCTCGGGAGGGCCGCCACCGCGGGCGCACGAGGTGTCAGTCTGCGCTGCTGGCGCGGGCCCCCGTACGAGGCACAGCCACGCACACGTTCGCCGCTCTCGGCGGCGCTCCGCGGCGGCCTCGCACGACCTCCGTCTCGGCGGTGGTCTGGCCGCACACCACGTCCTCGGAGAGGGGGGCGACCTCGACGGGGCCGTCGGTCGCCTGCATCTCGGCGCCGTGCACGTCCAAGCGACGAGCATGGCCGTGCCCGCCTGCGATATGACCTGGCTGCCGCCCTCGGGGGGACGCACGACGTCGAAGGGGTACCCGCCCACCTCCGTCGCGCCCTCCTTGGCGCTGACCTGGCCCTCGGGGGTGCCGACGACCTGTTCGTTGCCCTTGCACTCGTCCACGTCTGGCTCCCCGATGCCCAGGCTGGTGTCGCCCTCCATCTGGACGCCGTCGGCGTGGCCAGCCGCCGCGCTGGGCTGCGGGGAGGGCGGGAACTCGCCCAGCACAGCGTCCTCCTCGAAGGGGCACTGGCGCTCCTCCTCTCCCGCGTCCTCGCGCGCCTCGGGGTCGTCCACGATGTGGTCCTGGGACGCCGCCTGCTTCCTTCGGGACCCGCAGCGCCCGCCACGCTGGGCGTGCTGCGGCCGCGCCAAGGCCTGCCGCAGGGCCTCGACGCCCTTGCCGAGGTCGACGCGCGCCCCGACGTTGCGCCTGGCGCGGGCTGCGCCGCATGGCGGGGCGTCGCGCACCTGCTGGCGCATGGCGGGTTGCATGGCCTGCCAGCGCATCGCAAGCTCGGCGTCCTCCTCGGAGTCGGCGTCTGCCAGCAGCGCCCACGTCGTGCGCAGCGCAGCAGCCACTGCGGCCGCGACCGCCTGCCGCGACGCGCCGCCCGCCGCAGCGCCCTGAGCAGCGCCCTGAGCAGCGCCCTGGACGGCCATCGCCATGACCAGTCCCGCGCTCCCGTTCGACCGTAGGTTCGTCGCCTCGACGCCCGCCGCCATCGCGGGGGCCGCACCAAGGGGGAAAGAGACAGAGCCGCTCTCTCCTACGAAGGGAGAGGCAAGCCGCGCTCCTCGCCCGACCTGGCGCCCAAGGCAGGCTTGAGCCAAAATGGCTACGGTGGTGTCTGTGTATGTGTCTGTGCTTGTGTGTTCGAGGGCCGCCGTGCTCTCGTGCCGCGCGCGACCCGCCTGCATCCCTCCTTCCTGCTCGGGCGCATTGCTGCAGCATCGGGCACCCAATGGACGGCGTCAGTCCTATTATGAGCCACTCTGTCAAGATCGTGTGATCGTCCGTCCAATGATTCTGAGCCACCCTGTCAAGGTCGTGAGACTTCTCCCGACCTTCGATCGTCCGAAGACAGTCTGCCTTTCGATTCCTGTTTTGACGTTGCGACCATCCTGTGGTGTTGGGTCCTCGCTTTCATCCGTAACGCCCCGCGTCCTCCTCCTCCTCCTCCTCCTCCTCCTCCTCCTCCTTCGTTCCTCCTCTTCCTCCTGCTCGTCCTCCTCCTCCTCCTTCTCCCTCTCCCCATCATCCTCACCCCCCCTCCTCTCATTACGTCTGCCATCAGCATCTGCCCCATGTTGGCAGATTCCGTACCCGTTTTGTGGCCTCCTAAGTATGGAGCTCCATTGTTAGCCCCAACGGCAGGCCCCGCATGCCGCCACGCCGTCCACCTCGCCACACCCGCCAGACGCTTTGGGGGACCAGACGTAGGGAACTCCACCGAGGGCCCCAGTAGGTAGCTCCACCGAGAACCCCAGCGGCAGAGTTCGCATCGCATGGTGCCACCCCCGCCCATTTCGGCTCGTCGAGATCGCCGTTTCGTAGCCCTCGTCGACCTCCGACGCCCTCCTGCAGGGATTGCGGGCGGCCACGCGCGACGGCCCGCGGGCCTTGCAGCTCTTGCCGTGGCGCTGCACGCCACGATCCGCTGCCCGATCC